CTCTGGGGCAAGTGATGCTCTGTCTTCTTGGTGCTTGGGGGGGGTCAACAGTGGGAGGGCTTCTAATGTCCTGGCCCCACTGCTGGACCTCCTGATGGCACTGGTATTTCTGGCCACTGTGTGACACAGAGTGTTGGACTGGATGGGCCTTTGGCCTGATCCAACATTGGCGTCTCTAAAAAAAAATATATATATATAGCTTTTTCTAACTTACCTCTCAGGGTTCTTTTTTAAAATTTACTTCTAAGGTTACCATTCCTCTGATGGGTGTGGGCTTTTCCTTCTTTCGGGGGGCCCAATCCACCACTGACGAGCTACTCAATGGGGGGAGCCCCGCCCCAAGCAGCCCCATCCACACCAATGCACCTGGTGTGATGACATCACCTGGAGGGGATATCATTGCTCATGGCACATTGCAGGAGGAAGCTCTAGCATTTGAGAAAAACTCTATGGTTACCATAGAGTTTTTCTCAAACACTAGAGTGTCCCCCAGCAATGTGCCCTGGGTGATGATGTCACCTCTGGGTGATGTTATAGCAGTGTGTGCGTGAACTGCAGAAGAAGTGTAGAAGAAGAGACACACACACACCCCCGCCGGAACATGGTAAGGATCTGGCAACCCTATTTACTTTATTTGTACCCTGCCTTTCTTCCCAACAGGGACTCAAAGTGAGAAAAGGCCCCCAGAAATAGTCTCTTGCCCAGGGCCTACAGAAACCTGGAACTAGCCCTGGTCCCTAGCCTTAACATTTATGGTGCAGGTTCTAGACTTTCTACCTCAAGAAGGTGCTTTTGTTTGGGGAGTATTATATTTGCAGACATTCAAACAGGAATGCTCCATTACTAGTAGGGAAATGTGCTTCCTTCCCTAGATACTAGACAGGTTTGGAGTTCTGATGGTGCTCCTCAAATCCTTTTTATCCGAGTTTCTGGCCAAATTTTGGATTCTGGTATACCAGCTCTTGTTTTGGAAGTTGTGTTAGGAATGCTTCCTTGATGGTTTTTATTTCCAAAACATTTACTGAGTATATGTGTGAGCTGCTCACTGCAGTGTTTAGCTTCATCCTTTTACTGGAGTTCTCACCCCACCCCTTGCATTATGACTGTGCATAGCACTCTTTTAAAAAGGGCCACCTTGCAGTGATTGTAGACAAAGTTGCATCAACATTCATTTTGTGTAGTACACTATCAATGTGTAGGAGTGCATGAGTGCATCAGTAGAACAGCACATAAAAGTATTTATGATGCAACCAGATGTATGATCACATCAACAAGGCTTCTTTTTTGGTAAGGTTTTGCAATACATATGATTAACATGGGCACAGCAATAAACATGGACACAGTGATAAACGACTGCAAAAAGGTGATCTGACTGCATATAACATTCTCTGTTTTTTGCTTGGTGTTTTATTGATGTAGAATAATGGGTGTGCATAAGAGTGTAGGACACACTTAACTTCCAATCCCTATTCAGTCAAGAAAATCACTGGATAAATGTGTTATGTATTGAGATGTATATAACTGCTATGTGAATGTAAATACTGATATGTGAATCGCCTGATTGAGATGCCATGTTGAGCTTCATCCTGGGCTAGGATCCTAATGTAACCAATAGGAGCCCTAGCCCAGAGAGTGTCTACCAATCACGCTGTAAAGCGGGACCGCTTGTGATTGGACGTTATATCTTCAACCTCATAGGTTGTTATTTGTACAGGGGGTGTGGCTACACTAGCCGGGAATGTTTAAATACAGAGCAGCCAGTGCTTGTTCTTTGGCTCGAGTGGTTCGAATGATGGTTCTGGCTGGCGATCGTAACTAAGCTGAAGAATAAACCGCAATTCTTGCTGAATCACTCTCCGACTCTTTGTTAAGCACACGACTTAACAATCATCTCTCCTAATGCCAGCATATCTACTAAACTGATGAATTTAGGATGGACACTTAACTTAGTTTTGTAGGTCTAAGGCTGCAGCCACACACCAAATAATCCACATTTGGTGCACTTTCCAACTGGATTTTGCCAGTTCACACAGTAAAATCCAGTTGAAAAATGCACTAAACGTGGATTATTTAGTGTGTGTTTCCATAGCCTAAAAATACCAGTCCTTTTGAGTTTTAGTTTATAATATGAAAGTAGATGCTGTACTATGCAGAGCACAATTGGGTTCAATAGGTAGGTTGGGGGGGGGTTAAAGTGTGTTGCTACTGGACACTGATATTAATGGGATAATTGACTTTACCATTGCATTTTAGTAACTCAAATGTCATTTAGCATACTAATAGAAGTATACATTGCACTATTAAGCAATTAAGCAAACATCAAACACACCAAAGATTCACAGAAGTATTTTTGGTCACACCAAAGAACTTTATCATAAACCTTTAATGAAAATCTGTGAAGTTTCAAAATAGATTTGCCATGCAACAACAGATGCTGCTCTTCAAACAATATAAACTGCCTAGGGCATGCTAGTAATGAGATTCTTTGGATTATGCTTATAGAATCCTGTAGCATCTGAAAGACTTAGACATTTACACTGGCATGATTTTTCATAGGTAAGAATGCAGGTTGGTAAATTCTGTGACAACTACATCCAAGGAAGTCAAATCTTGGCCATGTTACCAGGGGAGCTGGGCTAGGTACATGAGTGTGGCCATTCATATATGCACCTTAAACTCCAGACATTTGAGATCTGAGTCTTTGTATCCACAGACTGCAGACAGAAGTGACATTTTTTCCATAAAAATGAATGAGTCAATCGTCCTGTTAACTTTTTTTAGAAAAAGATAGAAAGCAAGAAAGACACACAATATAGGCACTGGGAACAAAACACTTAGCAAGTCAAAATAAAATACATACCAATCAAATAGCTTTTAGCATCTTTAATAATTAAGATGACCAATAATGCCTCACTCACAGCTAGTTCATGAGACAGAGGGTACATATGTGTATGTATGCTTCTTGTAAAACATAGGAAAAACTAGATAATAAAAGGGAAGGGAATAAAACATAGGACATACTTTGTGGTCAGATCACAAAAATCATGGACATGTTCTGACTCATAGAATTAGATTTGACAAGTTCTTTAGTAAGAAAGTATGTGATTACAAAATGCTCTGAAAAGATGCACAATGGGTTGCATCCAAGGGTTTTCATTGTCTAATATAACAACATGCGCTATAATGCGAGTCCAAACTCACGCCGAGCTTGCACTGGTGGGAGGGAGCTGAATTGCCTACTCGTGAAGCAGGAAGAGAAGAACACCAGCACTACGAGAAGCACAGTGCCAGGCAGGGAGCGGAGCCAGCCTATTTAGGCTCGGCTCCTGCCCTCTCCCTTAGCAGTCCTCTTGCGTGCTTGGAGTAAAGCAAGCACGAGAACTGGGCTGCTGCTTCAGGAGGCTTTCGGCCTGAGAAGCAGCAGCGGTGTGAGCCTCGAGGCGGCGGCAATGGTTTTTGGTGGGTTTGCAGCAGTGACAAGGGCTAGGCGGTGGAGGCGACTAGGGCACAGTGGTGGCAGTGTAGGCCCGGCAGCATCTTGGTGGCAGTGGCTTCACGACTGCCGCAGTCCCTGGGTGCTGCGACGTGGGTCGGCTGTAGCGAGCCGGCCTTGGTGGACTTTTGGTGATCAGGGTATTGGGATAGGTGGCGGCGTGCACAGCGGGTTGGTGATGTGAGGAATCGGCCGCTCCTGGTGCCATTTCTTCTCTGACGGGCACCTCCCCTTTTTGTTGGAAGGCTGGTTAGTGGCTTAGGCAGTTAGTGGCGGCCATTTTAGAGGGCGGCTTGTAGGGAGCTTAGTGGGGGCAGCATGGTAAGGCTGCTTTGCACTTAGATTCCCCAGCCTATAGAACCCCCTCCCACCCTCACCATTTGCCGCACAGGGCTAGCCTTCGGAGAACCTCATTCTAATTGGGGGGGCTTGGCGAGAGGTGGCCATTTTGAAGTTAGTAAAATGGTGGCCATTTTAGGTGTTTTGAAGCTGCGGCCATCTTATAGATTCTTTTGGCAGCCATTTTAGGCCTTTCTATCAGGCGGCCATTTTAGTTGTCTTTAACATGGCTTCAAAGAAGGGCAGGGGGGTTTCAAAAGGCAAACACCCTAGCCCTAAGCCAGTCAGTGGTGATCCTGCTAAAGGGAAACAGCCTCCGCAGAAACAATCAGGGGGCCACACTCATTAATACAGGTGACCCAGTGCATTCAGGAGTTACACCAGACACGGTTCCTCCGCCAGTGTTCTCGGTGCCTTCTGCGCTATTGGGCATTCAGCGTCGGTTCCCTTGGCTCCTGCTGGTATTGTTTCACCGGCTCTCCTGGATGCCTTTTGGGATACTCCAGTTAGTAGAGCCATTTTAGATACGCTGGCTGGCATTGAGCAGTGTTTAGGTGGGCCTTCGCCCATGTCACAAACGGCTATGTTATCTTCTGAGGTTTTTCAAACCCAAGTTTTGAATCACCTTTCTGTTATTGAAGATTGTTGTTTCGGTGCTGCGAGCCGGGCTGTTGTTCCTGAGATCGAGGAAGCACGACCAGTCGAGTTGCAGGATGGCCCAGCAGAACAGGGTGGCAAGGAACAGCAAGTGGTGCTTTTCAGGGGTCCATCGCAGGCTCCAGGTAGGCCGGTTTCTGCACAAACACAAACACCTGACATCACTTGGCCTTGGGGTCCAGTAGGCCTACAGGCTTCAGCCGGGTCATCTGTTCCAACACCAGTAGTGGGATCCTGGTCTGGGGCCACCAGCGTGACTCCTGCATCTGGGTCAGTTGGGGTGGCACATACCCCGCCTTCGGCTGGTGGGGTACCCCCAGCTAACACATTAGAGGACCATCAGGGCGGTAGGGGATTACAGATGTCGGTTCTGTTGTCTGTTCCAGCGCCGTTTGGGGGATCTTCGCCTGCCTCTGTGGGCATGCCACCTCCATCATGTACTGGACAGTGTCAGCAAGGTGGGGTGTGGACAGGGTGTGTTGCTCCTGATCCAGGTAATAGAACCTATGAGATGGTGCCAGCAAAGGAGTTGCCATCTGGGGAACTAGCTATGCCTTTAGGTGACCACCTCACAGCGGCCACCAGGGAAAAGATATTACGGGGAGAGTACATAGATGTATTTTCCTTGTTATTCAGGGAGCTGGATAAAAAAGATAGAGAAGATTTGGATGAATGGGACAAAGAGCATTTGAAGCACCGCAGCGTAGATAGAATCTATGCTAATTGGTACCTCTGCTTTTTAATCTATGCTGGGGTGATTATTAGGGTGCAGCCTGGAAGGGCTTCATCTCTGCTCCAGTATATGGACATAATCCACAAAGGTTATTCGGACTTTGCTGGGTCCGCTTGGATGGAATATGATAAGGCCTTCCAGATGAAGACCGCTATGTACCCGGCACTCCGCTGGGACCTAATCCATCCACATATCTGGATGCAGACGATGTCCCTGGCCAGGCCTATGTTAGGGGAGCATTCTGACAGCAGACATGTAGTGAAAAGAGTTAATGCAGCTAATGCAGGAGCTCCATGTTCCCAGGGTGGCCAGGCAATCCAAAGACGCCCTTTGTGTTGGGAGTTTTCCTCACAGGCTCGCAACATGCCGAGCTACCTGATTCCGAGGACTATCCCATACCTCTACCGGAGGTGAGTACTGCCGAGCCTGCCGAGCCCAGTACTGTCCCTGAGGAAGGGCAGACCCCTACTCTTGGACCCGCTGCAAGGGATGGTAGCATACCTGACCCACTAGAGAGTGAGTCAAGCCGAGTGCCCCCAATTCAGAGGTGCCCTGAACCTCCTACGCCGCGGAGGTCTCAGCGAATACGCAGAGTGCCCACCTACCTAAGTGATTATGATTGTACTTAGTGTTTTTGCTTAGGGGGGAGGGATTTGTTATGTATTGAGATGTATATAACTGCTATGTGAATGTAAATACTGATATGTGAATCGCCTGATTGAGATGCCATGTTGAGCTTCATCCTGGGCTAGGATCCTAATGTAACCAATAGGAGCCCTAGCCCAGAGAGTGTCTACCAATCACGCTGTAAAGCGGGACCGCTTGTGATTGGACGTTATATCTTCAACCTCATAGGTTGTTATTTGTACAGGGGGTGTGGCTACACTAGCCGGGAATGTTTAAATACAGAGCAGCCAGTGCTTGTCCTTTGGCTCGAGTGGTTCGAATGATGGGTTCTGGCTGGCGATCATTGTACCGTGTTCGGAGAAGTAACAGAGCTGAAAAATAAACCGCATTCTTGCTGAATCACTCTCCGACTTCTTTGTTAAGCACACGACTTAACAAAATGTAAGCCTCTTTCTCCTTCTCTCATATTGCAATGTTCCTCACAGGCTTTTTGTTATGAGAATAAAATGGAGAACCCACATATGAGCTCCATGTAGAAAGGAAAGGACAAAAAAGTAGTGATATATGTTCATACCACTTTTAAAAAGTTATTTATTGGTTATTTATTAGCATTTATCATGTGTGCTCTAAAGATGGAGCTGAAATTATGGACCAAATGAACCCATTTTAGAGAATTTTAGAAATTCTCCCAACTGAACTCATGTCCTTCTTGCACCCAGGGGCAGGCAGGAAGTCTCCCAAATACACTCAAGCAGATGAGTGGAACAATCAAGGCAGCCTGAGATAGCAAACACTATCTGAGTTAATCCCAGAACAGGCAGAGATGAACTTGGGCTATTTATAGACATCAGTGCCTGCAGCTTTAGCAGTGGCCTAGAATATGCAGGCAATTACAGCATGACCTGTCCAGCATCCTGTGAAGCCTGGTCTTCTAAAGTAGAGGAAAGACCCGCAAAGGCCAGCCATGCCCTACACAATCTAAGATCAACTTCTGCCTGGGTTTTCTACCTTCTCTCCTCCTGGGGTTCTGGAGGTGATTGTGGGGTCCTTGAAAATAGACAGATCTCCTCAGTGGGTTCCTTGGCAGTCCCAGTCTTTAGCCCTGGCTCCTGGGTGACTGGACTTCTGGTCCAGCAGCCACAGCTGGCTTTGTATCCTCTGATGGTCCTTTGGAGTGAAAGGGCCCAGAAACCTCAGGGTCTGCCAGGGTCTGCCAGCCACCGTGTCATCCTCATCCTCTGAGGAGGACTCATCAGGCCAAACCCTGACACTGGAAGTCAGGAGCCATGGAGCACCAGGCAGCAATAACCTCTGGGACAATAATGGAATGCCATAAGAGAAGTCTCTTCATCTTGTCAGGCAACACAAACGATCCTCTTAACAATCAAGACATCACTGAATTTGTCTCATACAACTCCATGCTCAAGCTAGGATTTCTCTGAGTGAGTTCTCCTCCTTCCTGTTTTCCCCTTTGCTAGATGCAGTAACAGCGTTCCGTGCGCCTTGGTGTTTAGTCATGCCGGCCACATGACCACGGAAATGTCTTCGGACAGCGCTGGCTCTTCGGCTTTGAAACGGAGATGAGCACCGCAACCCTAGAGTTGGATTCGACTGGCTTTCGAGCAAGGGAGGCCTTTACCTTTACCTTAGATGCAGTAAGTAGCACAAGTGGAGTACACCACGTCTTCAGGAAAGATAATGAAAATAAAGTGCTTCTGACCAAAAGAAGACAAGCTGAAGCAGATGGGCTGTTGAATCTTCTTTTCTTTCTCTCTTATTGGAGGTCCTGCTCACCTGAAAGATTTGTGATAGCAAAGTTTCACTCCCTCATCCACAACCACACCTGCCTGTCCCTTGACGAGTTTTTACTTTCCCTTTAAAACTCATCTTAAAGCATGTGCAGTTTCACTGGAAGAATGGAAATGATTTATCTCTCAATCCAAGGGAATGGACTCGGGTGGCCTGCAGCCACCCTGGCTGCTCCAAAGTGTAGCTTTTTTTCCCATTTGTAAGTGTGGAATGTTTTTGCTCTGAGAAATGGCCTTTTCACTTTAATGAACACAAGCAAATCAAGCGCAGTGTTAGCACAAGGTAGCACTTGTTCAAGCGCCATCCCCTAGAGATGCTTAAAGGAGACTGAGAGCAGAGGAACTGCTCCAGTGAGGCTCCAGTATATAAGGCAGGGGAGACATGATTTATACAACAGCCCTGTGCAGAATAACGAAAGCAATTTGATTTTATCCTTCTTTTAACATTTTGAAAATGAGTGCAATTTTTTTTCTTTTTTTTTAAAGCAGAAACATTAGACTTTCATGCTGAAAAACAGAAACAGTTTAGGAGTTTGACAGATCCAGCTAAGCTTATGGAAGAGGCATTGCACTGTTGGGGGTCCAGGCAATTTACAACCCACCAGACCATGTGTAGCCCTGAAGAAATGGCTCATGCAGTGAGACAGAGGGTAGAAAGCAGCATCTGCTGGTAAGGGCTGAATGAGAGGAGGAGAACTTCACAGGTTTACTGTTGGGCATTGCTTGGTGACAACACGGGGAGTGGTATCTATGGAAATTCCATACTGGTGTGCAGAAGAGCAGGATTGCAGCTCCCACCACTGAAAGGGAAGGAGGATGTGGTGCCATTTACTGGAGGGCACCAGAAGGTGGTGATGTTCCAAGGCTATGGCTGCCACACCTAGTAGGGGCAGAAGTAATGTAGGTAGCAGAACCCAGCCTGTGTCCAAGCTGGGTCATCACCAGCATCCATGCAAGCTTCTCTACTCAATTCAGAAAATTCACACCAACACAGAGATTCAGCCACAATCCCACAACCACCTCTTGATGCTCACTGATAAAGGCACTGCATCTCCTGTTCCCTTCAGCAGCTCACAGTGGTGTGATCTGGAAGCCTCCCTGCAGACATGTAAGCCACTACTACAGATGATGACATCCACAATATCCAATGAAAGATAGGTTTTTCATGGCATGGAGGTAAATAACATCACCTGGTGAATAGCACCCCATTAGGCCCCCTTTAAAAGGAAAGAATTTTCCCCCCACTAGACAGTTGGCAACCATCGTTCAGTTCCATACAGAAGCTGTCAGTTATCAGGTTCAGTTCAAGGTACTGGCCATCACATAAAACATCCATTATGGCCTTGGACCTGCGTAGCTTCAGTACTGCCTCCCCTTGTTGTAAAATAGTCAAAAGTGTTTAATGCTCAGACTATCAATGGATCTTGCTCTATTGGAAAGAAGAGACTTGTTTGCCTTTAAAAACCTTTATTTCTAAGGGTAAAAGGTACATGGGATTACTACAAATAAACATAACACTAACAGCTACATTTTCTAAGCTGTCTATAGTCAAACACTAGCACACAGATAATGGAGAATCTGTCCTTCTTCTCGACCCCTAGAAAGAAAGTCACCTGAAAACAAACAGCCAATCTGTATCACAGTAGAAGCTACTTTTCCTGGGCTAATTCCCCATTGGCTTCCTGCCAGGTATCCCTTCCAGGTCAGTCTAAACAATAGCAATACTAGGCAAACAAGTTAACCCTATAATGACTGGATTGTCAGACCTTGTAAACACATGCATTTCCAACACCCCTTATATGCGCAATCACAATTGCACTCATCTGAGCAGGGCTTTCTGCAGGTACCACCCTGGAAATGGGCAAGATCAACAACTTGTGTCCTTTATACAAGTACATTCTCTGTAGTGGCTCCTACCTTGTGGAGTGGCCTGCCTGAGGAGGTCAGGAAGGCTCCCATGCTTCTGGCATTCTGCAAACCGTGTAAAACTGAATTGTTCAGAAGGGCATTTTATAAAAGTAATGGGCTATGTTATAATAGAATGGCTCACAGATCTGCTTTATAAAGGGAACAGGATTGTGTACCATACCACTGGGTATAGTATGTCTTTGCTTCATGTGTTACCCTGCATTGTTTTCCATGTATGTAATACCGTTTTCTGCATTGTTTAACATATCATGTCTAATACTCTATACTTTGTGTCAGATTTCTGTAACCATAGTCCTATCACATTGTTTATTAGATGTATCACCCTATTGTCTGCATTGACAATTTATTTAGGTACATTACAGCTTGCCTTCATCTCTTCTAGGAACCAAGAAGTACAACATTGATAGAAAAGGACCCACTGAAGAAGACATGTTGCTAGCTAGCATGGCCAGATTGGCCATTACTGCTGTGAGCTCCCAAAAGGGTGCAGGAGCTACTGCTGTAGGAGCCACTGGCCTTGGACCGGCACAAGGCAGGTGGGCATGAGACAGGTGGAAGCCCTGGCAAGCCTGCTTCTTCCCTTTCCTCCTCCATTGGGAGGACGGGGCCCTTTCCATGGCCTTTTTGCCTCCGAATCCATCTCAATGGTTAGAATTAAATTGTGACTTCAGTGGATTTATAAGAGTATGCTTAGGATTGCTTGTAGGTCTTCTAAAATTCAAAAAGTTTATTGACAGTCATCAAAGACAATCTTGTCTGATGTAGTGTGGACAAGCTTTTGCTTCCAGGACCAATACAGTAAATGGTATTTCTTCTTTGGTTTTCAGTTACTGCAGCAAAGGTGGCATTAAAATGTGTACAGAGACATTTCCACATAGAAGCGTATAGAAATGGTTTCATTTTCAGATTTCCAGCCTGCACATGTTTCTGCATTAGGTTGCAACTTTTTATCATATAGGCATCTTCTGTAATATACCTTGCTTGTGAATTGTGCAAAAACTAAACTAAAAAAGCCAGCTAGAAATGAATTCAGGTCTCTATTTTGTTTATGTTTACATTAAGCAGCCCTGGAAAAGGAGCCCCTATGCCCAGGATAGAAGGGGAACCCCTCTCTTCTAGGCGGCAATGTAGACACCATGGCTCCATTTAAACCTCATTATGACATCAATCCCTGTTTTTGTAAGTTACAGGTTAGTGGTTGAGAACTGTAATAAGCCCTTTAGAAACAAGCTGCCTTGCATATGTTATTTAATCCATGCAACTTCCAGGATATATTTAAAAAATAATTATATACTTGCTATGCTGAAAGAAGTAGGGCTTGTTGCAGATAAGTTCAATGTGTAACTCTTTTTTGGGAGTGAAGAACACTTGTTCTCTCAGTATTATGATTCCTCTGTAATTTAACATGGTTACATTTTGTAGACTATTTAAATTTGGATTCTTTGAGGGGTTTATTTTTGAAATCTACATATGGGCTGGAAACTGCAGAAGTTTCCATTCAGTTTCCATGAGGCTTGTCGTAAAAGGAACCACTGAAATGATCTAGCTTTAAAGGTAAAAGATGAGCATATATCTTTATATCCCTTTATACCTGATGAATCACCCAGGCTTCAAAGAAAAATGTAACCTGATGACAGTGAGGCAATGAGCAGCATTCTAGATGCACTGAAGACAGTGGACCTAGAAAGGTGTAACTTGTTTAGGACTGGATTTCAACTTACACTTTGGGTGAGCTTGCTTATCCTATGGCAGGGGTGGCCAAACTGTGACTCACAAGCTGCATGCGGCTCTTGGAGCTGTCTTCTGCAGCTCACAAGGCTTTCCAGCCCCCCCCCCCAGGTCACCTGTGGCCTCCCTAAACTGGCTGGGGTGGTTGGATCTGGCCACATGCGTGTTCACTCACACTCTCAGGCAGGGAGGAAGGGGATGAGAAAGGGGGAGCAGGAGGAGGGAGGGCAGGTGGTTTGTGGATCTCTGCAGTGGGTGGAGGGAGCGGGACGGGGGAGGGGAGGAGGAGAGAGCCAGGGAGGGTGGGATGGCAGTGGCAGAAGGAGTGCAAGGGCAGCAGGAAGTTGCTCCAGAGTGGGTGGTGGAGCTTCCTTTGCAGGGGGAGGCTTGGAGCCTGACAAGGGTGGGGGGAATAGAGAGTCTCCTCTTCCAAGCCATGGGGGCAGAGACCTTCTCTGGCAGGTGACCGAGCGTGACTCCTCTGTATGATCGGGATGATCTGATGGTGCCCAGAGGCCACCATCAGATCATCCCGATCATACAGAGACCCTACACCCCCTCAGGGAAGGGGGGGTAGGAGCAAGAGGCTTGATCCAGACCCCCGTGCAATGGCTACACACGGGCACAAGTCCCTTAGATCGCCTCCAATGCAGAACCAGAAGAGGAGTCCATGGCTATGGGCATTAGCCATCACTTCCAGAGACGGGGGGGGGGTTAGAAACCCAGCCAAAGAAGCTGCTTAAGATCAAGGTGAGTAACACTTTTTATGCTTGGCAATAAAATGATTTGGGACAAGGATGTCCTTTATCACCTTTATTATTTATTTTTACATTGGAGGTCTTAGCTGATGTAATCAGATCTGAGGATCAAATAAGCGGTCTTAAACTGCGTGGAGAAGAGTTTAAGCTATTGGTGTTTGCAGATGATCTTATATTCATTTTAGAGAATCCCCTCAATTCAGTACAAATCTTGATGGGAAAACTACAGGAATATGGGAGAGTAGTGGGACTAAGAGTGAACATAAATAAAACAAAGATAATGACAAAGAACATGACAAATGAACAAGCTTTACTACTTCAGCAGAAGTCATATTTTCAACTGTAGAAAAAGATTAAATATTTAGGAATAATGTTGACCAATAAATGCAGCACACTGCAGGAAAACAACTATAAAGAGCTTTTAACGTCTACAAAGGAAGACTTGGAAAAATGGAAAAATTCCAAATAATTTTAATGGGTCGGATGGCCATAGTTAAAATGAATATTTTACCAAGATGGTTATTTCTATTTCAAACAATACTAATCTTGCAAAGTCAAGCAATTTTTAAAGAGATAGACAATTTAATTCCAAAATTTATATGGCAAGGGAAACGTCCGAGAATAAAACTTAAAGCTCTACAAGATTTTAAGGAAAGAGGAGGCTTTGCATTGCCAAACTGGCTTCTTTATTATAGAGCATCAGTTATGGCCTGGATTTAAGAATGGATTACTTTAAAAGATTAAAGACTATTAAAACTGATGACCTGATGCTAGGCTGGCACACATTTTTATGGTATGGCCACAGTACATAAATACTTAAAGCAGCATTGGCTGAGAGCATCTTTATTGAAAGTTTGGGAACTGTTGCATAAACAATTTTATACAAAGAACTCAACGCTGATTGCACCTTTTGAAGCCTTCACAAACCCTAAAACCTATTATGAAGAGGATGTAAAAAGGTACTCAGATATTCTAGATTCTAAGCTTAATTTGAAACCATGATTGGACCTATCATGGTGGCAAAGGGCACAAACTGAATCTAGATTCTCTAAAGATAAAAAATTAGGTTTTTATGATAATTTGTTAGAGTTTGAAAAAATTCTGATTTCTACAGATCAAAAATTTATTAAAAATGTATATTTTTCTTCTTGATTGTATGATGTTGGATGAAATGGTTAAAACCACAATGATTCAATGGGCGCAAAACTTGGGACATAACATTGACCTAGATCAATGGGACCAATTATGGAAGAAAAACATGAAAATAACGAAAGTGGTCTCTTATAAAGAAAATGTTTATAAAATGTTTTACAGGTGGTATGTAACCCCAGAAAAGTTAGCTAAATATGACAGTAAGTGTTGAAACAAATGTTGGAAATGTCAAAATAAAGTGGGGTCATTTTATCATATTTGGTGGCAATGTGAAAAAGTTTAAAAAATTTGGGCTTGGATACATGAAATTTTGCAAAAAATATTAAAGTGTACTGTTCCTTTTACTCCTGAAGTATTATTGTTAGATATTCTTCCTGATTTATGTAAAAATGATGATCACTATCTTATTGTTTATATAACAACAACTGCTAGAATTCTATATGCTAAATATTGGAAAGTCCCGGAGGTCCCAACGAAACAAGAAATTGTCAACAAGCTTTTGGAGGAGCAGAAACGGCTGAATTTACTTTATTGTTAAAAGGACATACAGAGTCCACATTTCAAAATACATGGTCAAGATTCTATATCTGGTACAATAGTTACAATAATATACCCTGCTTAATAAAGACTGGAATAACAAAAAAATTATGAGAAATACAGAAGCCAACAAAGAAAACAATTTTTTTAGTTACTTGCATTGAGAAAACTGTTTATATATAAGGCTTAAAGTGAAACCATGTAC